GTCCAGGAAAGAAACTTCTTGGCACTGACTTCGGAGGTGCCGGAATAGGTTCGTCATGTCCCGGTAACTGAACCTTAGAACGTTTTACCTGAAACTTCACCTTCGCCCTTGGCAAAGCATCAGTTGAGTCCACAGAAAGCTTCCGCATTTGCTTACTGTGACGTTCACGATTCTCCGGAACATATGGTTCTGGCTCCGGCTTGTTCGAATCTGGCGACGGTACGAACGGATGAACGGGATCCGTATCACTCGGAAACCCTATCGGTGGTTGACCCGGATCATCTGGCGGACGAGATTCACTCGTAATCTCCGGCATTGCCTCTTCTGGATCGCTCGATGGGTATCCGAGTTGCTCCAAAGGAACATCGGGATTTCCGAACTGATTCGGACCAGCTACGGAACCTGTCGGAGGTGGTCCCGGAGGTTGTCCACCCTGGTGATCATCAGGGTTGCCACCCGGTCCATCACCAGGCGGATACATATCTTCATCATCTGGATCAAAATACTGCTGTTCCCCCGAGACGGGAATCGGCTCATAAGCCATATCATCATCCATCGGTGGTCCGTAGTCTGGAGGTTGATCCTTTGGATCCTCTAGAGCTACTTCATCAGGAGTCACAATGCGCTTCACGGCGCCTGTCGTCTCTGCTTCGTAAACTATCATACTCCAATGATCTACCAAAAACTGTTCATGATGAGGAGACAGTTGTGACACAAACATAAAGAAAACCTGATGGTATTTTCCTGGCTTCCACATAATCAACACTGCATCATCCTCAGAGTTGAAGAGAGGATGCACTCTACCAAAAGTACCACGATAGACCTTACATCTCTCAAAATACATCTGTGGCAAGGTTCTTCGTCTAATCTCCTTCAGGCCTGGAATCAATGACACAATTCGAGAATCAGAGGATGTTGTCACATCAAACTCTGATCTCCGAGGTAGTGCATCTACCTGCCTCAAGGTTCTGATCAGTTCAGTAGTAGTGAACCTTTGTGGTAGTATGTGTCGAAGTGGAACCGGAATTTCCGTCGTCTCTTCCGTTCTTACGGAATTCATTAAAATTGACTGATGAGCTTCTCTCTCTAACAAGAGAGCTGTTCCACACAAACTTCCAGAGTCAAAGTTCTCCAGAAGATCTTCAATAAGGAAACTTTGACGTGTATCCAACCAAAAATGAGAACGGAAACTTCTTCCAGTCAGGATCCTTGAAGTACTGGTTGCTTCTAGTGGCTTGCACTGTTTTAGCTTGAAATGAACAGTCACCAATACCTTTCCATCCTTGGCAGGATGCATAGGAATGGAAGACTGTCACGTAACTCATTCCCTTCGGACAATAACAAAAACAATTCATATTCACATCAAAGTTAAAAATCGGATCCTTCAACGAAGAAATGAACTTCTGCAAAAACAAACAAAACTTGTTTCCTTTGGGAACAGTCACAAACACATGTTTCTTCCTCCTCAACTGCCACTCAATCACATTACAACATAGCAACCAAATAGAAGCTCTGTTCTGTTTGGGAGAAGGGTTGTTGATCACTATACAGTGGGGCTGCAATCTCTTCAGTTGCTGCCAAATACCATCTTGACCCTTCATAGTGGAAAAGTTGTATCCTGCCTTGAAATCCATAGGAGATGCAACTTTAACACCATTCTTTGAAAGGAACCAAGATAATCCACTGTTTCCATGAAGTAACTCAACAACATCAGGATGATCATCATTACAGAAGAAAAAGGACTGTTCTCCAAATTCGGCATCAACATACAGTTCGTGATCTTCACGTAAGTTCTCCGGATTCTCATCGTCTAATGCCGGTATGGAAACATCATGCCACTCATCGTGATCGCGTCTAACCTTTGACTGATTCACACGTATCACTGCCTTACCAGTATTGGCTTGGACCATAGCTCCTTCTTGTCCAAGTACTGTGGCACGAACCCAACGTCCTTTATCCTTGAACTTTGATGAATCCTGAGTCCAAACAAAAACCTTCTCTCCTTGGAAATAAGGACCGTCACTTGGCATAGTCCTTCTTGCAAGATCTGCTCGAAGGTCCTGAGCTTGTCGTGCTTCTTGATGAGCTCTCAAAGCCACACGTTGTAGTTCCAAATTTGTACGATCTTGTGCGGCTGCACTTGCTGACAATTGCTCAGGGCTTGCGGTCTCAAGGTCAAAAAGATCTGGTGGACGTCTTCCAGTTGCTATCTCTATTGGTGAATATCCACTGATAGTCACCTGACAATTTCTTGCACAAACTACCTTCTTGACCACTTCTCTGACCGTAACACCACGAAAACGTGGGTCATCCAGATCTACTTTCATAACATGCCACATACGTTTGAACAAACGTACAGCTGTCTCTGCTCGGTTCGGCCAAGGAGTTCTTGGCCCACAAGGACATTGTTGTATACCATGAAACCTGTAGTATTCAACAAAAGCATCGGTGAAAAAGGCTTCGTCTCCTACGATGGCCTTTGGAACACAGTTGTTCTGATCAAACCATTGCCTCAATGCTTGGATGGTGGTTTGATCTATGAGGTCTTTCTGTGCCGTAGCCCAGAGAAGATTTGTGGCACCATCAAGAACAAGTACGATGATATACTTGTTCTTGTGAAGTTCAACCTCACAATGATCAGCAAAAACAACATCACCAAAACATGAAGCTCTAATACCGAAGACTCTGGCTCGTGGCGGAGGTGCCACTGAAGTGTTACAAACACGGCAGTTCCTGACAACTGATTCATACTTCTCTAAAACAGAGTCAGGAAGCTTCAACATAGAAACACGTCTACGAAACTGAGTAGGACTCATATGGTAGTGCTTCACATGAAGCTTATAAAGCTCTACCTTGTCCTCCAGTCTCTGTAACATCTTCCTATATGCCGGTGTCATTGCAACAACTTCACTACCAGGTAATGGGATTGAAATCCGCCTAGGCTCAAGAGCGCCATCACCTGGTTCAAGTGGTTCATGTTTATCACTTGATGGTCCTTTTGATGCTTTAGGAATTTCTACAAGTTCACCTTCTGGCCTCTCAGGTGGTTCTGAGGGAGCATACTCCTCAAGATCATCACCCTTTAAATCATTCTGAGGCTCAGATGGTTTCGACTTGTGTCCCTTCCAAAATGGATCAAAACCCTTGGAAGTATACCGAAACTTTGGCGGCACGGGCTTTTCCGCGGCACTTGATGGTGCACCTTCCTTCTCTGACGAGAAGCCTGGTTCCCTGTCCTTTGCAATGGGAACCTTCTCTGAGGAGGAGCGCACCACTGCATCGGGATCACCAATGCCACGGTGCTCAATGCCAGCCTTCCTGATCTTTAGATCTGGAATTTTGGCATCTGGTTTGAACTTAAAATTGTTCTCCCACGCCATTCATAGCCAATTTGTAGGTCCTTCCATTTTGCCTTGCGCCAATCATCTAGCTTCTTGATTTCTTCTCCTCCTTTCTTCTTCTTGATGATTGTCAGTCGCAAGTCTTCCAGTAAGTCAGTGTCTACAGGACAGGACTTAGTTGCTGGAAAAAGAATCTTTCTATAATCCTTGTGGTGACGTATCAGTTCTCTCTTGTGAACATCTACTTCCCAGTAGTCAACCACAGGATATGCATGTTCAGCTACATCTTCATCACTATTGTGATCAACAGAAATATGACCATATTCATAGTGAGTGAAGTGAGAGTAAAAAATCTTCTCGCGCCGAGTCTGCAAATTCACGTCAGACAGATACCATGCAATATCTTGGAAGTCCAAGACAAGATGAGTACTGGCTGCAACCTTCAACTCCAAATATTTGATACCAAGAGGCACCGATGTCAGATAAGCATGTTGAGGTGTCAGCCTGAGTTCAAAGCCTAAGTTCCTCATCTGTGGCAAGCTCATAAGCAAAGGGACTTCTCCTTCTTCCACTATGTCAAACTCTGTATGGTGGATCGTCCATGCACGATCATACATGTAAATCACCAGTTTCTGAGAGCAAGTAGCCTTCTGGGAATTGGCAAAGTAAAACTTGCTATTGGTAGCCTCAAAAGAGTACCATAATCCACAATCTGGGTGATTTTCGACATAGTTGCAAAAATGGTCGACTGCTCGCCTTGATCCCATAGCTCTAGTGCATCCAATGTCCAGGATTGCAATAGTCGGCGGGAAGCGATTCTCAGTCAAAAATGAAATGGCCTGCATCTCCTTCACTTCTTCCTCAGCGCTCATAAGCGCAAAGCCATCAGGAGCCTTTGTGAGCATCTCCTTTGACAAAGAGTACCTCACAGGGGCACTCATGCCATTGAAGATCGTCTCACCATTGTTGACCGCGCAGTCAGCTTCATCTTGACATGAGGTCATCATGCCTGACAGCAAGTTCACCTCACTGTCATGGACTTCAGCTGCTGCTGTCACACAATGTGCAAAGAAACCTTGTTGACCTCCTGATGCTTGTGAAGATCTTGAAGGTGCAGGCAAAGAACGTGGCTGTTGTTGATTTGCATAGTTTGCATCTTGTTTGCCATCTCCTTTATCTTTTCCTTTTCCTTTCTTGCCTTATTCACGTAGGCTGCTGGCTCATAAGCCACATCCGCATCAGGCTCTTCCCAGTCGTCAATCCAATCCATGGCCGTTTGCCCACAAGCAATTCTATGCCTAGGAAAGGAGCTCACCTGGGTCTTCCAGGATCACTGCTCCGCTACCACTGAAAGAGTGACTAGGGCGTACACGGTAGAGGTGCAGACCGCTAGTGTCTTTTATGCGCAGAGTCTTATCCTCTTGCTCTTTGAGCCTTGAAGCAGTCAAGTATGGACACACTATATCGGCTGTTGGAGAGGAACCCTGTACAGGTAGGCTCTACTTTTCAGCAGGGAGGGGGGAGGGGGGGGGGGGGGGGGGGGGGGGGGGGGGGGGGGGGGAGGGGCCTATTTACTATTCAGGCTCCAACATTAATTGCACCCAACTACCTGTGCAAAGCAGGTGGTACCAGCGTCTCGCTCCATCTGGACCTGGCCACCTCGTCGCAAACACGCGGGAAGCTGCCACAGCCGCTGCAGTCGTCCACAGTCTCGCCGCGCCCGAGCCTCGGTTTCCGTTCGGAGCGAACCGCGCAGCAAGCGAGCTCCAACGTGCAGCTCCAGTTGGGCTGCATGTTGTTCTTTTGCAAGGACCAGGCCCGAATGGTCAGCTATTTGCTGACGAACAATTGGCTGACATCTTAAGGTAGAATGAGGCATCTGTGAATCTGCAAGGGCAGGGCGCATCTAGGAAGCCCATGCAAAATATTTGCTTGGAGACGAACATGTTTGCCACATTGCGGCTTCGTCTTTGTTGTGACACATCAAGAATGATTGTCACAGCTGCTCCGAACAAAAACAAAAACCTTTGCTGGCCATATTACTTAAAGCGGATGTGTCGAAACCAGTTTCCCCATCTGTTTGTTTTGGGGCGGCCCCGTTGTGATCCACAATTGGCCGTCAGTTACGGTAATCGGTGATGTCCTTCATGCCCCACAAAGGCTGTTTGACTTCCATTCTGCTTCCTGCCCTACCCTGTCAAATTCCCAGAAGACAGAGTCAAAGCAAAAGGTTACTGTTGTCAAAATGTGTCAACACAACGCATCGAACAAAATGCTGTCCCCCCAGAAAAGGTTAGCAAAACAAAAGGTGGGACTCCCCAAATGATCCCTTATCCAAGGCACCCTGGCAGCCAAATCGAGGCGATCAGCATCCATGTCACCATTGTCAAAGCGGCTGAGCTCTATCTCTGAATGCTTTGGGAATCACAAACTGGGCCCTCATCGGGGTGATACACCGGGTTTCTCTGCCGGATGTCTGCCCAATTCTGGGACAAATTCTTAAGGATTCTTAAGGTTCAAAAGTGTATGTGCGGTGCTGGATGGTACATGCCATTGTGGTGCTGCATTGCCCTCACATCATGCGGCTTCCGTTCCCACAAAATACTCCAAATATATACTGTATATATATACTCTGAATAATATATTCATATCTGTTCACAAAATACTAAAACTACCCTTGGCTTGACAATGTGTGCTTCCTCCAGTTTCTTATAGTTTCTTCCATTACCGCGTTGCGCTTGGGCGTTTGAGACTGACGCCACTGGCGGGACTTGCCGCCAGGCGGAGCCTCCTAGCATCACCACCCTTTAAGTTGATGGGGGTTATTCTATTGTCCTACCTTAAGTTTACATATATGCAAAAAAACATTAAGTCGTTTAATGCATGAAGGTCCAAAAGCTGTTCATGTTTATGGCTGTTGGATGGGACAAAGGCCTTTAAGTTAATTGGCATTTCGTTTCGGAATTGATGTAAAGGATTTTGTGGCTTCGTGAGCCAAAAGATCCTAAGAGCAGGTCAAAAGCAAACAAAATAACCATCGACAAAAACATCAACTATTGACTATTTTGAACGCACTATTCTTGTTTGTTGTGTTTTGTTGAATAATTTCATTGATTTGTAACCCGTAATTTTAGTGAATATATACGTATTTATCTTGCTCCGTTAATTGCGTTAGTCAGTTCCAATGTGGTGAGGTTCCTAAACCGATAAAGAAACAAAACGCATGCTGTCAATTCATGAGGTTACATACCGCTAGTGTAGAGTTTTGTGTGAGAAAGCAAGTCAAATCAAAGCGTGTCAAATGAGTGGAATACAAGCAAAACAACGCTGTTGTAGTTGACAGGAGCGAATCATTCCATTTTTTGGACAGTGTCAAAGTAGAATCTTTAAACCTGTAACTGTAAAGCCTTGTGATAGCACATATCATCAGGCCGCTGGTGTCCAGGACCAACGTGTTCTTCATCTGTCCCAGCAATATAATCCCGAGTACCTATTAAAAAACGGACCCCTATTAGAAAAAAGTCATGTCGGAAACCCCTAAATACGGTTTATATTTGTTTTTAAATTACCGCCCTTTCAAGCCGCTACTAAACTACCAACATTGCCGACTTTGGAGGAGTTTTTTTAATTAGGTTCCAAAAACAACCGTAACTGCCCACCTCTGTCCGCCCTGTCTATCCACCATGACACGCCGCGCTTACACCAGCAGGCTTTCCTTCCCCCAATGGCACGGACTCACGCAAACGCACTTGCCACCGAGGTCATGCACCACCGCATGGCACAGCGACATCACCTTTCGAAAGCTTTAGCTGTTAGTCGACTGAAGAAACACTATTCTAATGAAGGTTTTTGTAGGGGAAAAGGAAGACCCTTCGATCTGGAGCTTTTTTGCATTTTTGATACGAGTTTAATAAAGGATTTTATGTAAAATTTTACTGATTTACTTTTTGGTTTTGAAGCTCTTCCCAGGTGACCTATTTTGGACCCCCCGATTTCAGGGACCCCCTATTTAAAAAAATGCGACCGAGGTTTCCTTATTAGGGGGGGGGGGGCCTCGTGTTTTCTATTAGGTGGACCGGATTATCCTTCCTCGAGGTGAAGGATGGAATCCTCACATTGTCAGTGCCATTCGCGACTTTAGGGTGCCTTCGCTACAGCTGAGGGCTTCCTGTGTAAAATGTCTGAGCACAGCCCACTCGATGGAGTGGTACCCTGACACTGTGAAAATGAGACCCCTTCAATTGAATGGAGCCTCAAGGTACTCTTGACATGACGCGCTCTTTGTACCTGTATCCTGCTCATCCCATGTATAACCTATGTCAAGAGTATGTGGGCCTATATTTATTACATGTCTTCAATACATGTTCTGTAGAGGTGATTCAGCACGCCTGCTTGACACCGCATCCCCGTCTCTCCGTCGTGGTTCCATGTCTCCGTTGTCGCTGGACGCCGCTGAGTTCTGCGCCACGTTGATGAAGGCTCGCTGTTCACCCGGCCGTCGCCTTGAGTGAACACGCGCAAAATGACAAGAAACCACTGCCAATGGAAGAGCGTGTTCTGTTCTCCAATGGTATTCTGGGTTCGGTACATGATCAAATTGGAAGCTTTGCACGTTTGGACATGCTCACAGCCAAGTTGTTTGTTGGGGCTGGGTGTTGTAGGTGCTGGTCAAACTTTGATACTTCCCAACCATGAAACAAGGACCCCCATATTTCTTTGCACATTGTAGTTCGATCGTTTGCCATGGGAGTAGCTTCAAAGAACCACTGCTTCGTGAATTAAGAAAACCAATTCTCATCGTCATGATCCATCTAATCATACTTCAGGGCACTTAATCAGTGCCCGCCCATTCCGATATAATATGATATAATATATATATATTGCTCTTACTAGTTGATCTTCCCAAAACCACACGCTTGGAACATCCGGCAAAAGCTCGGCCAGGTCGTTGGCCTCAGCCTGCAGCACCATGGAGTCGAGTACAAAATCGCTGCAGGAGTTGATGACAGGTGGTGGGCCCAAGACTGTTCAAGTGGATCTCTTACTGGAATAAACTGGGTTGCTTCAGCTGGTCATGGATATGTCTCCAAGTTGAATAATAACATGTCAAATGATCCCTACAGGTTGAAGGGTCCAGTACCAACACTGGTATTTGTCATTTTGCATATGCCATATGCAAAATGAATGCTGTATCTATACATCTTGATGCAACCAAATAACTCACCAAATGCTATCAGCAAAACTCGGGGACCCATCGAATAATATTGGGAAAACATAAACAGCAAACCCCATGAGACTCTATCATGTACGGGTTCGGGCTCTTCACAATCTGCCAGACGGGCGGGCGCGAAGGCCCTGCAAGAGCACGGTTGTCGGTTAGCAAGCTTGACCTCGGTACATGTGAACATTGCACAAAAGTACTTCAGACGTTCATCTGTCTCCTCCTTGGAACGGAGGCGACCAACCAGAGTTGCATGTGGGGCTGGTCAACTTCCAACATCTTCCAACTATTTCTCACAATTTGGGTGCCAGGTCAAGGGAGTTTTGAAGGAACCATCCTGTGTTTGGACTTGGCTACTTGTCAAAGTTTACCACTGCTAAGATTGGTTTTAGCATGTTTTAGCTTCATAAAATAAACCCATGACACCCAGGCTGGAGTGAGGCCACCAACCGACAGCCACCAGATGTCGGCTTCCGATCCCTCGGCTCGGCCTCGGAGTCATTCACGCCCGGCAGCAAGGTGTAGGCCTTCCGGTCTGGACAAAAACGGATGAACTCGTCTTGGTGGGCGCGAAGGTATTGTTCTTTTGTCGAGTGCGCCTCCAGAAGAGGGGTTTGGAGTGGGTGGCACCCACTCAAAGTGCTTATATAGTAGTGCTTGGGAAATAGGACATGTCAATGTCGAAGAAGCAACACACCCGACAAATCGAATGATGCTCAATGATTATATCGCATTTTCGAGAACACAACTTGCAAGAAAGTATTGTACTATTGTTAGGGGAAGGAGCTGCGACACAACTTGAGCCACTATCGAATGAAGTAGATTATGTATATTTGGCTTTCTGTGTTTTCAAGTCAGAACTATGTAGGAACTATGTTGGTGGCGACGTTGTAGGTGATGTTTTCGGATTGTCTGGTGCAAAGACAATTTATATAGGGGTTCTGTGATTCCTGGTTCAGCAGTCTGTTACAACCCAGTGCTCCTCGGAATTCAGCGGAAAAGTTAAGTCCCCTCCCGTGTCTTGGCAGATTTTCCAGCCTCAGTGGGGGCAAGGGGGGGTGTATGTAGTCCACTGGACTCTCACTGGACCAAGCTCGAAATTCAAGAGTTTTACTTACATTACAGACTACTGCGCGACGATCTGTCCATAATGAGTGAGAAAAAGAACCAGCCAAATCAACCACAGAAATTCCTTGAACAAGTTCTGGTCCTGGATTGCTTAAAGTTGGAATGAACATCCGTTGGATATTTCAAGCCCGCTGCATACTCACCCAATTGGTTCTCAATGAATCAGTGATGTAGTGATCCCCCTCACGTCAATAACCTGCACGAACCGACCCCATCGGGGTTCCCGGCAAACATCGGCACTCGGCCGACGTGCTCTTCATGGTACTTGACCTTGAGGAGGTGATCAAACACCCGCAGCACCACCAGGGAGAGGTCTACTAACATGATGAAGCTATTCAATGTGGCCGGACGGAGCTATTTTGGGCGGAGCTGCAGGGGTGTTGCTGTATGACCAACACTCGATGATTGACATGTATAGGAAGCTCATCACCAATGACCTCAGCCTCTTCTTCAAATTGCTTTCCAGTTCGTTGCGAGAGCTAGGCTGTTCAAACCAAATAGCTTTGGAAGAACAAAAGTGGTTGGCCTCTTTGAGCCGACCAGCTTAGATATTACTTATTTCTTTTCTTCCAATTTAAAAATGTAAACAGTAATGTACAACGTATGATATATGATATATATATAGAGAGAGAGAGAGAGCACCCCAACCTGGTGCTGCCGTCCAGGTGCCTTGGCCGTCTCACCGAGGTCGGTGAGTCGGTGAGCTTCCGAGGTCGGCACTGCCTCCATCACCGTCTCCAAGGGCCAGCGCCTCGAGAGATGTCTCTACACACTTGGGATGGATTGGGATGGACGGATCTGTCTCCAGCACAGCACATCTTGGCTTGGCTTCTTGGGCGGTTGGTTGATCAGGGGTCGCAACTCTTCAGTAAAACTGTAGAAATCACCTGAAATCACTACGAGTCACTATCACTACCACCCGTCGGCCCGTCAGCAGGTGACTTCCGGCATGACCCATGCACGTCTACATGACTGCCAGCCGTCTTCCAGGTGCATCATCCATGTTCGCAGGCCGTCACCGAGAGAACACTCCGAACCGCTCCATTCAAAACAGAACCATGGTGGTCTTGTTGGGTTGCTATGGAAATTGAGATGGCCA